CTATTACAGTCCTTTGCGCCTTGACAACATAAATGAGCCCATTGACGTATTCTTTTTTTAAAGTAATGAAGCTATTTCCGAGCAAATTGGAGAAAAATCACATTACGTCTTTAGACATTTAACCTTGTAACGCCCAATATATATTGTATTGAATACAAAGCGTTAAAATAACTTGGGCGTTATGAGGTTTAATAACTAGTTTAGTAAGCAATAAACGTAAAATAACGAATTGAAATGTATTTGTACAAGAATATTGTGCTAATGTTTACTTGTAAAAGTTCTCGTGAAAATGTTTTTTCAAGGAGTAAAAAATAAAACCGAGTGACCATTTCCAAAGTGTTTGTTGTACGAAATCACGTGAACGTTTTCAATTTGTCTCAGTAGTTTAATAATAATACGTAATTAATAAATAACATTGCAAAACACAATAACTAAAAAATTACAATAGGTTATTAGTAGGTAATTATTTCGTTTTACAAAGCTAAAGTTTTTCAAAGAGTACAGCAACAAGAATTAATATTTACAAACTTAGATAAATGATTTGTGTCGCTGGGGAGTTTACAAAGAAACTAAATAAATGATTCTGATGAGATGACAACTTTTATTTGGTCTCTTTTTAGATAATATACCGGGAGTAACAGAAAGGGTATAACAAGCCGAAAGGAGGTCAAGGTACTCATGAAACTGAACAACTTTCCCCATGGAACATAGGTCGAAATGTGAAAAAAATTTGGTGCTCCCATACAAAATCGCCGATCAGCTGTTTGATGTACTATGAGAGGTCCAAATTTTTTCATATTTCGACCCATGTTCCATGGGGAAAGTTGTTCAGTTTCATGAGTACCTTGACCTCCTTTGGACTTGTTATACCCTTTCCGTTACTACCTGTAGACTAGCGATGCCATATGGCATCGGAATTTCGATTTTAAAATACACTTTTAAACCCCATTTCCATAGTCAAATTAGTCCGTAAAATATCACCCCCCTTTCATTTTCATTAATGGCTTAAACCGTATACTCAAGTCTATGAACGTAAGTAGTTGCACGTAACTTTTAGTTAAAAAAGATATATAGCCTTTTATGCAGTAAAAACGTGTGTTTTTACCCTCCAAAGGCAATCAAAATTCAGAGGGTACCTTCCGTAGACCTAGTACAATGAAATTTGGCAAATTGCTTCGTTTTGAAGTACAAATTAAGGAAAAACTATAAATTTTCATTTTTATAGGTAAATATGCTTTTTATGAGGACCGAAAAAAAATAAGACATTTGGCTAGTTGGCCAAGTGGAGTATCTTATGAAATATAGGTTTACCTACAAATCTTAGTACGGAACCCTCGGTGGGCGAGTCCAACTCGCACTTGGCCGGTTTTTTAATATCATCGACGATAGTGCTTTTCACCTGTGTGTCTTGGTTTTTTTAATATCATCTTATAGTAACCATATCGATATTTAAAAACTTTTATATTTACAATATCTAGAATGACCCGGCCATCGCACCAGACCATCGTATCTCACTAGCAAATAGTGTGCGATTACCAAGTCATTCTAGTTATTGTAAATATAAAAGTTTTTAAATATCGATATGGTTACTATAAGATGATGTCTGTTACCTAATTACGCAATTGCTAAAGATGAAAGTTCCCTGAAATAGTCCTTCAATAAATCAATAACCGACTTGGCATCACATGGATCTCACAACTTTTTACAGTAGAAATACTGAGAGGCGAGACTTGGTTCTTTTTACAAGTGAATGTTTTTGGTGGGATCTCATTTCTTTTTGTAGGTAAATTTCCTCTTGCTCTTTTCTGGAACTACAGATTTCCTCATAGCCCATTCCCTATCTCTGTTTGTGCGTAACGTTACTTTCAACGGCAAAGTTAGGCCTTGTAATCCTATACATTTGTATGGAAATACAAAGTTAATTATGCGGTTGCAACCGAATTTGCAGAATGTTATAGTTTTTCCTTTATTCATACACTAAATACAAGTTGTATTCTAAGTTTGAAGCTCCTCAGTCTGCTAGAAGTACCTTAGAATTTTGATGATCGGTCAGTCAGTCAGGCAGAAAATTCATAAACTTTGACTAACTATAACTTCTAAACTACTGGTATAAAATAGATGAAATTTGAAATATATCGTGTCTATGCAGTGCTTGATAAGATATTTTGAAATGAGTGTTCTAAACTTATCGACAAGGTAGTTATGGGGGGGTCGAAAATGGCCTGAACTGGTTCGAGAAAAGGATGGTACGGCCGTGCCCCTTTCAGCTCGACTTGGTGGGGGCACTGCCGTGCCCCCAGATACTGTCCCATAGAAAAATCGAAGACCTACTCAAGCAAAATATATATATAGATCAGCAGATTTATTTTCGCAGATGGCCCCATACTAATAGCTGTTCTCATAGTATGACGGGACACCCCGTACACAGGTTGTATGGGAAAACCTCGACTGATAATAATTTATTTTCCTTTCCTTTTTTACTTCTCTATGAGGGCTTTTCGCGCGGTTGATTTCAAAGCACAGTCTTTATAATTTGTACTTTTTAGCGCACAAAAATAGAAAAAAATACTGCCATTCCAATTTTTCCCATACAACTTTAAAAGTTGAATAATTCGGAAACTAAAAATAATCGCGGAACATACATGGGATATTTTCGGATACCCCAAGATGTGAGGAATCTAATTTCTTTTTATTGACGGCACTCTATGGTGGCAGAGTGCATTTTATTGTGATTTTTTTAACACATGCTCGTTATTGGTCACAAACTCACAAGCAAATATAGTGTGTGTCCTGATATTATGATCATTTAAATCACTATTTCGTGAAAACTTCTTGTCACAAATCTTACATGTAAAGTTCTTTTCACCAGTGTGTGTTGTTACATGCATTTTTAAATTACCATTCTGAAAAAACTTCTTATCACAAATCTTACAAGTAAATTTCTTTTCACCAGTGTGTGTTCTGATATGCCTTTTTAAACAATTATTTCGAGAAAACTTCTTATCACAAATTTTACAAACAAAGTCCTTTTCACCAGTGTGTGTCCTGGTATGAACATTTAAATGACTATTTCGCGAAAAGTTCTTATCACAAATCTTACAAGCAAATCTCTTTTCACCATTGTGTGTCCTGATATGATCATTTAAATCACTATTTCGCGAAAACTTCTTGTCACAAATCTTACAAGTAAAGCTTTTTTCACCAGTGTGTGTTCTTAAATGTCTGTTTAAAGCAATACTTTGAGAAAACTTCTTGTCACAAACCTTACAAGTAAATTTCTTTTCACCAGAGTGTGTTGTTATATGGATTTTTAAATTACCACTCTGAGAAAACTTCTTATCACAAATCTTACAAGTAAATTTCTTTTCACCAGTGTGTGTTCTTATATGTCTATTTAAATGACTATTCTGAGAAAACATCTTATAACAAATTTTACAAACAAAGCTCTTTTCACCAGTGTGTGTCCTGGTATGAACATTTAAATCACTATTTCGCGAAAAGTTCTTATCACAAATCTTACAAGCAAATCTCTTTTCACCATTGTGTGTCCTGATATGATCATTTAAATCACTATTTCGCGAAAACTTCTTGTCACAAATCTTACAAGTAAAGCTTTTTTCACCAGTGTGTGTTCTTAAATGTCTTTTTAAAGCAATACTTTGAGTAAACTTCTTGTCACAAACCTTACAAGTAAATTTCTTTTCACCAGAGTGTGTTGTTATATGGATTTTTAAATTACCACTCTGAGAAAACTTCTTATCACAAATCTTACATGTAAAGTTCTTTTCACCAGTGTGTGTTCTTATATGTGTATTCAAATGACTATTTTGAGAAAACTTCTTATCACAAAACTTACAAACAAAGCTCTTTTCACCAGTGTGTGTTCTGATATGAACATTTAAATGACTATTACGCGAAAACTTCTTGTCACAAATTTTACAAGCAAATCTCTTTTCATTAGTGTGTGTTCTGTCATGATATATCAATGCTTGGCGGCTACCAATATTTTTGCCAGATATCTCACACTCATAAGATTTTACATCCACGTGTGTTTTGATATGCTCTTTTAAATAACGTCTGAAAACAAATTTTGTATCACAAATCTCACAAGCAAATGGCTTTTCACTAGAGTGTGTTCTGATGTGCCTGTGTAAATGACAACTCTGGTTAAACTTCTTATTGCATATCTTACAAGCATATGTCTTTTTACCAGTGTGTGTTCTTAAATGATTACTTAATAAAAGTTTTCGAGTAAACTTTTTATCACATAATTCGCAAGCAAAGGGTTTGTCACCTGTATGTGATGTGATATGACGTATTAATGTATTTTTTTCTGTCGTTATATAAGAACAGGTGTCACATATAAAATGGTCTGTGCTGACAGAGTGCATTTTATAGTGGTATTGTATCACGTGTTGCTTATTGGTAACAAACTTACATATAGTACATGAATATTCGTTTTTTAAACGTATGCTTGAATTATTTTTTATATTTGTTTGGATATAATGTAACTGCGAAGATTGAAAATTACCTGATCCTTTTAGCAACTTTTTACATTTGCTGATCTTCTCCGCTCCATAGTTAATGCTTGTTTTATTCGAGTAGTTGTTATCGTCCTTGCAAGGTCTCGGCAAACCAATATCAGCGGCGACGTGTTTTCCAGATGATCTTGTCGTCACTTTGAAGTCAGTGACTGACCCTAGAAAAATACTTTATATTAGAGCCTCTCTCTCTTCTTGTGGGACACCGATTCATTCAACGACCCGATGAACCCTGGTGTCCGAGTTTTTCAACCGCCTACTGCAAGAAGCAGGCCTCTGACATGGTTGTTCAACGACCGCCATCATAGACAGCAACCGAGACCGACGGCTTAACGTGCCCATCCGAAGCACGGAACCATCTTACTTTTCGGACAATCAGGTGGTTCAGCCTGCAATGTCCTAACGAGACTGGGAACAAATTCACAAAGTGATAAATATCAACTTTGTCACTTTGTCAGTTACCCCACCGGGAATTGAACCCGGAACCTTCTGCGTGGCAGGCAGTCACACTAACCACTGCGCCACATGGGCTGTCGTATTAGAGCCTGCACACGGGGGATATTTATTGTATCCTGCAAACGAGGGATCTTGTATTTTTGTGAAAAAAATATGTAAAAGCGATTAACAATGACGAATATCATCGCTTTTACTTTATTGTGAATTATCAGCAATTGATTTAGTCCTACTAATATTATAAAGGCGGATGTTTGTGTGTGTGTTTGTTACGACATCTCGCTAAAACGGCTGATTAGATTGACATGAAATTTTGCACGAATATAGAAGAGTATCTAGAATAACACATAGGCTACTTTTTACCACGGGAAAATGTCTTATTCCTACGGGATCACGCATATTCCAATATTTTGGCAAAGGTGGCGAGATGAGCCGATTCGCGTTTTAAACGTTTTCGCCGAAAACTAACAGCGACATCTCTTGGCGAGTCATGCTTTTTTCCCACGGATCAATAGGTTGCAGCGGGTGAAACCGCTGACAGGCAGCTAGTTGACTATAAAATGACAACTATCTGCATATATAGAACCAACTGTGGAGTTAGTAATAACGATTGTCTGCAATTTAGCCACATAGAAAACACTTATGTTGCAGAAGGAAACATGCATCTTGGCACCTCCTCTTCTTGCAAGTCTAAGTCAAACAAAAAGCAGCTACTCGACTTGTTGTACGCTTACGACTCTAATAACGAGGTAAGTTTTATCACACGCACAGAAGGTGACTCGGAATCATGCCTAGATCACGTCTACACCAACTGCCCTCGCGGTACTGTGAAGGCAACACCTGTGATCACTAACCTCAAAAACCTTGCCATTAAAAAACGAATCGGACAAAAAGCCACCAGAGACATTAAATTTATGAGTTGCCAGTACTGATATTAAACGCAGCCACCAGCACAATAGCCCCTATACTTGCTGATACTTTTAATCAATGCGAAAGGCAAGTAAAATATTCCCTCTCTTCAAAGGAAAGGGTAGCAGAGCCGATCGAAAACGGAATATGCTCTCGGATAACCACTTTCCTGGATAGCACCGAGATAGGTAGATAACTGCTACGTAAAAAAATATTCACTTTTTTGTGTAAATAGTTTTTTCAGCAAATCACAACGAAGATCCAGATATTAAATAGGTATATTGCCGAGTAATGTTGGCGTTGAATAGCATCACCCCATCTATCTACCCTTGGGTGTTAAAAGCCAATTAAGTCATTCCAGAGAATGGGCAGCAAAATTCTTTGTGAAAACATCACCTTGAACTGCGCTTGCCAATCCGCCTGCCAAGCGTAGTGAGTATGTAAAATATCCCCCTAATAAGGGAAGGCCTATGTCTAGCAGTGGATTGTTGCGGCTGTTATAGTATAGCATGTTTTATTGTATCATATAAGGGCGATTTACAAACAAAATGGGAAAATTACAAATAACACGTGGGAGTCAAAAAAGGACGTCAAGTTCGAGAAATATAAGCTGGTGGCAACACTGGGAATGGCAATTCGGTAAACCAAATGACACGCTATATTGCTCAAAGGGCGGCTCTATCCGGGGCCGCGAATGACATTTTGGTGCTCTGTGACTGATTCCCTTATGAAATAACGTTATTGACTGATTTTGCCAGTCATTAACGTTATTAACTGGTTGAGAGTTTTGCCTGTAACATATATATAGGGTGAAATTTTACTAGTGACCGATAGCGAAAACTCAGAACCGGCTGGTGATAAGGAACAACTTTCCCCTAGGAACATAGGTCGAAACCCGAAAAAAATTTTTTGGCCTCCCATAGTAATTCAAATCAGTTGATCGGTAACTTTGTATGGGAGGCCCAAAATTTTTTTCATATTTCGACCTATGTTCCTTGGGGAAAGTTGTTCCTTATCACCAGCCGGTTCTGAGTTTTCGCTATCGGTCACTAGTAAAATTTCACCCTATATAAAGAAAACGTTTGGACTTCCCATACAAATGGCCGATCAGCTGATTGGTTTACTTTGAGAGGTCCAAATCTTTTTCATAATTCGACCCATGTTCCATGGGGAAAGTTGTTCAGTTTCAGGAGTACCTTGACCTCCTTTCGGCTTGTTATACCCTTTCCGTTACTAAGTATAAAATATGAAATAATTGGTCTTATCTAGATGAATAATTTTAAGGAAATATTTTAAGGTATATTTATTTGCTTGTATGGTGAACAATTTAAAATGAGGCTATGCCAAAGAAGTTTGATGGCCAGGTTCTTTTCTCGTTGGTGGCATATTGCTGAACCTGGTTAATATGTTGGTGAATTCATATGTAAAGTTTGGTTGACATATGATTGAATAAAATCAATATGTTCTTATATTGTCTGTTTCAATTATTAAACTACCTTCCTTAAATAAATAAATAATTAATTTACAACTCGGATAACTAATTTTATGAAAATAGTCCATCCTGACATCTAAGATAAATAAATCAATTAAAGTTCCATCCTGACTTTCAAATGAAACAACTCCAATACATTTTAAAGCTTTATTTACACACAAGTAGCTTTTGCTTTCACATAAACTTATACAGAACTAGACATAATATGTACAGTACGCGCATGAGTTCTTGGCCATCGCGGCGCGCCCCGCGGATACCCAACTACCCGCATTCGCCCGCAGTCAAGTGATGGGAAAAAAGTGTGTCACAAAGTTGTCGATATTTTGTCGTTATGTTGTGTTTTGTGTAGAAACCATAAATACTTCTTTAATATTATTGACAAACAGTGAAGTTACAGTTCGAACAAACTATGGTTAAAAAGGCCCCTTTAATAAGCAAATGTCTCGAAACCTGCCCTTAGTTTATAAAGACCTATTCAACGATACCCTACCAAACAATATTGTAGGAAAAACAAACCATTAACTAATAACTATGAGTAGTCTGAACTGAACTGTTCGGCAACAATTCTCGATATCGACATCAACATGAATTAGTCACAGCACTACCGCATTCCTCAACATGGTCATGAACTCATGCGCGTACTGTAGCTTTCCTCACTCTCTGAATCTGACACACGCGTCTGCCACATACCCACGGCCGCATGCAGATGCAGATGCATGCGATCGTCTGCACACAACTCACGAACTTGCAACTAGGCAGTAAATTACCGTAAATATTTTTATCTACCCTCATTTCGTAATTATTATTTTTTATAAAGTATGGGTAAGCATTTGTCCGCAATCTCACCTGATGTTAAGTGACGATGCAGACGATGATGGAACATGCTCGCCCAGATAATGCCTATTCACTCTCGCCTTGAAAAGACCCAGGTTATAACGTTCCGGAAACAGATCCGCAGGCAGGGAGTTCCACTCTTTAGCAGTTCGCATTAAAAATGTAGAAGCGAAGCGCTTTGTGCGAAATTGCGGGAGGTCTACGATATAGGTAAGGGTGGAATCCCAACCGGCGTCTCGTGCACCGGAGATGGAATGGTGGCGGAGGTATCAGGTCATGGAGATACTGTGCACACTCCCCGAAATGTATCCCTTAGAATATTTGTTTTACAGAATCGAAAGTAGGTTCGTTATGAACTGCTTTATGAATATGCAGCCTTTAAAAAATACTTTCCTCTCAGTGGCAGCTACATAAAGCTACTCGATTTCTAGAATTTAAAAAAAAATGAAACGAATTCACCCGCGTACCAATTTAATCTGTTCCAATCTCAATTTTGCCGCCATTTTGGACTAAATTATGGGTCAAAAACGCCCCTTTTAAAAGCAAATATATAGAGACGGAAACATTCTAGTGACTTATTTTCAAAGAAACCTAACCTCCCCTTAATTTTAAAAGACCTATTCTACGACACCCTATTCAATATCACTGCAGAAAAAAATTCCCCAAAAATCCCTCCCCCCCCCCCTCTCCCACCCCCACGCTCCTTTCACTTAACTTTTTCTCAACATTTCTATTTTTGGGTCAATACGATCTATACTTTCACCAAATTTCATTTCGATAGTTCTAAAACTGGAGAAGATATGAGGGCGCGCCGGCATACAGACAGACAGAGAGACTTGGCGAAATGATAAGGGTTTCTAGTAGTAAGCATTTTTAGGCATTTAATTAAATTTCTTTCAATTATAGAAAATTATTCTATGTATACTTATTTAAGCTTGTTTATGTACACACTTCTTTGCAAGGCACTAAGCTATGCAAAGTGTTAAAGACCCATACATATTTTCATATACTAATGAAAATATGTATATGTCCTGGGCTATCAGCTGGCAAATCTTTATTGTTGTAAACTTCCTGGCATAATAAAAATCTTTTAAATCTTACAAGCAAAGCTCTTTTCCCCAGTGTGAGTTCTTATATTATGCATTTTCAAATGACTATTTTGAGAAAACTTCTTATCACAAAACTTACAAGCAAAACTCTTTTCCCCAGTGTGTGTTCTGAAATGCCTTTTTAAACAATTATTTCGAGAAAACTTCTTATCACAAATTTTACAAGCAAAGCTCTTTTCACCAGTGTGTGTCCTGATATGATCATTTAAATGACTACTTTGAGAAAACTTCTTGTTACAAGTTTTACAAGCAAACCTCTTTTCACCACTGTGTGCTCTGATATGCCTTTTTAAACAACTACTACGAGAAAACTTCTTGTCACAAAACTTACAAGCAAAGCTCTTTTTACCAGTGTGTGTCCTGATATGATAATTTAAATTACTATCTCTAGAAAACTTTTTATCGCAAATTTTACAAGCTAATCTCTTTTCACTAGCGTGTTTTCTTACATGCGTTATTAAGTTACCACTTTCAGAAAACTTTTTATCACATAATCCACAAGCATAGGGCTTGTCACCTGTGTGTGATCTGATATGACGCAATAATTGACATTTTTCTGTGGTAATATAAGAACAGGTGTCACATGTAAAATGCTCTGTAGTGACAGAGTGCATTTTATAGTGATGTATTAACACATGTTTCTTATTGGTAACAAACTTACACAGAGTACACGAATATTCGTTTTCCAAATGTATGGTTGAATTGTTTTCTATATTAGCTTGGAATTCATTTAA